ATAATAATAATTAATATAACGAAATAAAATTTTTTGTTAATGATAATAAATAATAATATAAAAAAATAAATATTAGAATTAAGTATATTGTCAAGGGGAACGAACATGTAGGGGGGGCCTTCGGGTTAAACACCCTAAAGGGGTATACCTGAAAAATAAACTTCTTCTTCTTATAAAAAAATAAATAATTAAAAATAATTAATACTTTTAACTTGTAAATAAATATATAATTATTTATTATTATCCATTAAAAATGTGATTATTTAAAATTATTTATTAAAAAAGTGTTAGGCTCAAAACTTTTCAACCCTGTTCGTGGTACAGTTAAAATTCTTTTTGTCTATTTTTTTTATTTTTTTTATTGAAAATATTCGGAACAGTATTTAGAAATATCGTTGTTGTTGATTCAGTTTTCATATATTTAATTTTTAAAAAGGAAGAGAAAGAAAGAGAGAGAGTGAGAAAAGTAGGTGTGGGAAGTAAAGAAGGTTAATTATAGTTAAAAAAAAAAAAAAAAAAAGTTGTCAAGTTAAGGATGTAACTAGTATTCTTCAAGTGAGCCGGAACTTTTAAACTTCACACCATAGATTAAGATCGTACGTATTCATGTTACGCATACAATTGTTTTATTCCGGTGAAACGTTTCTTCCGGTTATATAAATCTATTTATTTCTCTCTTTAAATTATTTTAGTATTTTCTTTTTTTTTTTTTATACCAGTCAAAGATACATAATTCACGCGTATGGGTTGATAGTAAATGCGTGAACTCGTAATGAGTTCTTTTACTTCTGATAATTATTATATAATCGCTAATTATACATAAATTATGTAACAATTCGATATGTTGAATGCTCGTTGAAAAAGATTACGATCGAGATCGATCTATCGAATCAAGTAGATCAATTTTGAATTAAAATTTCTTCTATTAGTTTCTAATTTTAGCTTGTTATTTATTTATTTATTTATTTATTTATTTATTTATTTATTTATTTATTTTTCTGATCCATACGAGAATCAATTAGTGTAACAATTATTTTTAATTTGTTTTATAATACAATTTCTTTTAGATCAATTTGTATGATATATAATTTATAAAATTACGATTGCAATAATATAATATTTGGATTGTTAATATATTTTATTAATCGTTGAATCGCGATTGAAAATTTACGATTGAATTTTGTGTGGGCCGCCATTTTTATATTAGATTGTATTTTGTTTTTTCTTCTTTTTTTTCTTATTTTATTTAAATTACACTTTAATCTTTATTTAATTTATTTCTATAAATTATTAATCTTCGTAGGATTTATTCTATCAATCGATCAGTAAATATAATTATTTAACTTATGCTTTTGCATCCATCGGTATTTGCAATTAAGTTCCTAGTCGTCTGAGGACGGAAGGTAAAAAGCGGTACCGGAAATGAGAGCTCCGACTCTCAAGTAACTCAGTTTCCATTGGTTTTATCAAGATGTAGGCTAGCATTAGGTCATAGCAAGAAATTTTAACGCCATTTCTTTTTCTTTACATGCGTGATCTATAAACAATAATATTCGAATTTATTAACAAACAAACAAAATTTCTAAAATTTCCAACTTACAATTTTGCGATATTACGGTTTTCTTTTTTTGTCTCATTGTTGAGATTGTTTGATGTAATTTGCTATTATTGGTGCAACGTTTGTTAAACATTTTTCAAATCATTTTTTTAAATATTATCTTCAATAAATTTATAAAATTTAATAATATGAACAATATAGAAACTAACTCTTGATCGATTATTATTAAAATATACAGGATATATTTTTAGATACGAGTTATTTCCTTTCAATATCGTAATGAAAGTAAAATGCGTATTGCGAATATGATTTCGATTCATTTTCTTATAAATATAATAACTATTTTGTGATCCGGAACAAAAGAAAGTTTATATTACGGGTTAAAAAAGTTGTACGCAATCAAAGAAAAAGCGAGAGTGTTCGAAATTCAAAATTACAATAATAATAATAATAATAACAATAATAATACTATTTCTTTTAAAGAAAAAATATTTGTCTTTAATTTTGAAATAAAATTATATTTGAAAAAAAGAGTATCATGTTTATTAGAAATATTGAATAAAAGACAATGTCGTTGGACATATTGGGAACGTGTGTGCATATCAAAAACGTTCTTGGTGGTAATAATAAATTAATAAAAATAACATTCCTTTACTTTCAACGTTCACTTTTGCGGTTGATCAGCCGTAAATACTATGCGAGAAACGTGACCACAAAACGCAACCCTGGCCACGAGGGGGCGAGTACAACACCTTTCTAAACAAGATCTAGAAAATTTTCTATTCTAGCGAATGAAAAGTTAGAAGAATCTTATAGAAAGGAAATTTTAACCACTAAAAAGGCTACGATTACACCGGACGAGAAAAAGTTCAAGGTTCGATGGCCGATCTGTTTACTAATTTATTTTGATTTTATTATTACTTTAACAATTATTGTTCAACATAAAATTTATTATTTCATATTAATGATAATTCAATATCATCAATTCTGCTTCTTTTTGTTAGTTTTTTTTTTTTCAATACTTTTTTATTATTGAAAAAGATGCAATTAATATAAAAATTGTTACTAGTATTATATATGATACAGTAATGTTCAACTATTTGATATATGATTTGTTACATTGTTATGTGATATAAATTAAGTGAGTGTAACGTGTACAGGTGTCTTCGACCCAATGACGTGAAACTTTCACTAACACGATCGGTTGTTATATCTTCTTGTTCATCACACCATAAATTGAGATTAAGATCATAGTTTTGGTCGATTTTTTATTTATTGGTTGTTTGTTATTATGCATTAGATTATACGAAAAACTAATGCCAATTAATATTTTGTATAAATTATATAAATTCTTTTTTATTTTTTAACTCTCCATCGGTAAGGTAGATTTTATGAGATCACCCCCCTGGGGGTTGATTTCTTTTACTGTTACAGTTATTTAAAAAAAAATCTAACAAAATTCACACTGGTACTCTTTAGGGTCCTTAAAATATTATTTAACACTAGATATACCAGACCAGTCTCTGGCAATTTTATTTCAAAATTTCTACTTCATGTAACATTTGAGTTCTGTAAATAATTAAGCGTTTTGTTATTTAAAAATAGCTATAAATCCATTTATTTATTAAAATTATTATTGTTAAACATTTTTTATTATTTTTAAGAGTAAATAAAGACTGGAAGCCTCAAAAAGCATTTTGTTTATACACCAGTCATTTTGACTAGTGTGGTAGAAATAGGTATACTGAAAATGGTGGTAAAATCTAGTGTTAATAATTTATTTTGTTATTTACGATTTTAAATGAAAAATAAACATATATCATTGATCTTTAAAAAGACTCACGTTATCAGTGGGGGATTTAAAAATCGGTACACACACACAAATTAATATTTTGTTGGTTTTTTTTTTTTTAATCAATACGAACTTTTCAAACAATTCGACATTTTAATTATTCGTCTCAAGACTGTTTATTTAAACAATTAAATCTTTAAAATGATTGATCTTAATAAAATAATATGAGTATCGCGTTCTAGTTTTTTCTTTTTTTTTTAAACGAGAAAAAATAAATAGAAGAAATTATTTATTTATATATATATATATATATATTAATGTAAGAAACGAAGCGGAAGAACAGTAACACGGTCTGATGATCGTACGAATATCTCGGACAAACGGACCACTTATCTATCGCCATGCTCGTTGAACGTTTCACGTGCAAATCTTCATAGATTTCACCGTGATGATAGTCATAGGCATATTCTCAGCTGATCGTTAATCTTAATACTTCGTTTTGTATCATACAAATTTACTTTTATATATGTATACAAAAAAAAATAGAACATGAATTTTAAAAGATATGTTATCGTTTCGAGATCCCTTAAAAGAAAAAGAAAAAAAAGTAAAAAAACGAATTAGGAACACTTTATTTCAATCTTTGCTAATTTTTCAATTATTACTCGATAATTAATTCATGTCTTTTTTTTTTCATTTTTTTTTTTTTAACATCTTTCAAATTTCCATCTATATTTGTAAACATTTAACCTTTTGCACTGGACATTTTTTTTTTCATTCATATTACCAACGACTCAAAGCATTTTCAATAGAAAAATCATATTCACGTATTATAAGTAAATGATGTATGCGTATTAACCCTTTACCCTTGAGTACAAAGGGTTAATAATCTTCTAATTATTTTGAATAAAGATTTCATCATATATATTTTTCATTATTTTTTCGTTTAACGTTTTATGTTCTTCTCTTATCACGAATTAAATGTGTTTGAACGATACAATTTATTGATTTTTATCGAAACGCAATTGAATTCAGATGAAATTGGGTATAGATAATTAATTTTGTTCTTTTTGTTTTCTTTTTTTATTGCAAAAAATAGAATGAAGTGATGATTTCTGTGGTATGTACGTGTATTAAGTTAGATTCTTTGAAAGGAAAGATCGCATAGACTATAGAACGTTGGTACTGTCCCGTAGCATGGTTCAAGGACGGACGGTATAGACCGAAGACGATAGCCACAAGATTCATGCGTGGGTGCATTAACCCTACGAAGTTCACGGCAAAATAGATGGAATGCCAATGTATAATACTTCTTCTTCATAGTTATTTCTTTTTTATTTTTATTTTTATATAAATAAAATTATGTATATATAACAACATTAGATCAATTTAAATCAAACTTTTAAGCGAACTGTTTTATATTTTTCATATTTTTGAATTTGATTAAACATTATTATTATTATTATTATCTAAAGGTATTAAATTAATAATTATGATAAAAAGTTTTGTAATTAATTTCAAATGCATTTTTTTTTTATTTACTCACTCATATTGTTTCTTCTTTTAAATATCTTCAAAGTTATGTTAAACACATTAATCTTCTTATATAATATTTTTTTGATGCTTCTTCACAAATGTTTTCTTTAATCCATGATGAGATCAATGATTAATGATGATTATCTTATATCAACAATTAGAACGATTGTGATTAAGATTAAGGTTCGCATTCAGTGGAACTAGCATAGCGAAACCTTTGATCTTCAACGAACTGCATCCACATTGATGATAATCATACGATTGAATTTCCGTAATATGTAAAAAAAAAAACAACTAATCGTGAATGATAGTTCGTTGTACACCTGTCCTATTGCACACCTGTTCACTAAAAGTATTTAATTCTTGTTTTTCTTCTTCTTGTTGTTGTTATTTAAACTCACATTGAATAAACACGACACAAATTTTAAGTATTTTTTCATTAATATTTATTGTAAAAAAAAATACATAACAAGAAGATGAAAAGAAGAAGACGAAGAACAAGACAAAAAAAAAGCAAACAAACAAACAAAAAATGAAAATAATAAAAAGAAAAATGGAGACTGACCCCCCCAGGTTACCACAACACACCGTTAACTTCTCCTTTCGAACTCACATCGGCGTCGAGGTTTTGTACTCGACTGCGACAAGTCTTCTGAGGAAGACTCTGACCAGCCCCCCTAGAATCCTGTCTCCTGCCTGAACGAACTAACTGTTGGAGTAGGGTTGTGTCTAAAAGGTAGGCATGGTGTGTAGTAGAGGTGGATATACACCTTTCCAAAGGAAATTCTTTCTTCTTCTATCTTTCGAGTTATACCTGCGTGTGTAATATCGTTCCGCAAAGAAAAAGCGGAAACACCTTGAACGGATCCATACATTATTAACCCCCTTTTTTTTCAATTAATTTTATTTGATTGTCTTTTTTCTTCTACACACCTAAATTCTTGTATATTTCGTCAAATATACAAGAACGTATATTGCATTTTTATATTAACCTTTTGAGTGCTATAGACGCATATATGCGTTTGATAAAAATTACTAACTTTATCGTTCAAAGTGTATACGTGTTTGTTGATATTCATATAAAATAATTGAATATTTATATTAATCAATTAAATTATATTCGGAAACAAAAATTACAATTATTACATATAATTTATTATTATAATCTGGTTAATAATAAATTATTCTTCCTTCAAAACATTTTAGGTAAAAGTATTCAGCACTCAAAAGGTTAAACCCCTTATTTGATTCTTTTATTTTTTATTTTTTATACAACAAAAATTCTTGTATAATTTTTTCAAATTACATCTGCACGTGTAATATTCTTCTTATAGAAAACAAAGAGAAACAGATCATCAAAAGTTTATTAGCCTTCCAATTGATTTTAATTTGTTTTTTTTTCTTCTTTTTATATATATATATATAATTATATATAAATATATAAATATAATACTATATTTATATATTTACTATATATACTATATAAATATTATACTATTTGTAATAGTAAAAAATGAGTGAAACTAACGTAAGTTATATAAATAATGGAATATTAAAATTAATGAAAATAATAGTGAGAATTTGATTAATCTTTATCTTTTAATGTTTCATAAAAGAAGAAGTTAAGAGAAGAAAGTAAGAATAAGAATAAGAATTTTTTTCCCATTGAAATAATATTATTACATCAAGAAAGAGATAATCTTTTTTTCTTACATTGTGCTTACATTAAAAATGAACATTCGATCTGATAAACTACGCGATATGTTTTACATCGTGGTAATAAAATTATGTTTATGTAATTGTACAACGTAAGTATAATTTACAGGAAAAAAAATATTCGTAAAATTTATAAAATCGATACTTTTTAACAAACGAAGTATCCGACCAGACGAGAAAACCAGTTTAACCGTTATAACTTTTGTCTCGTTCGAATCAACTTTGATGCTTCGGTCATCTTGTGATTAAAAAGAAAAAAAGAAAAAACTATTAGAGAAAACTCGTTTCATATTGTTCACCGAATTGTTGTATTCTTGTTTATAAATAACAAACAAACAAAAAAAAAGAAGAACTGTAAAATCTCAACGTGTAGTAATTCTTACAATTTTTATTCTTTTAGAATTGCTCCTGGTTTTCCAGACTCCGTTAGAACTTGTTTGTTACATCAAAAGTTACAGGTACATTAGGTTTGATTTTTTAAAAATTATTTTACAAGAATTTATTTGTAAATATTATTTGATTATTATAGATGATGAATTGTTGCATCGAAAGAAAGAAAGCTAGAGAAAATTCGATTAATAAATCACAGAGTGTAGAATACGAAGACTTTGAAACAGGTATAGTAATATAATATAATATATGTACAGTTAAAAAAAGTAAACAGATAAAGACAATAATTATTATATTGAAATGTATTGGAAAATAATATAATATATATTATTACTATTAATATACATTTGTTGTAGAATCAGAGGAGGAAGAATTTTTTGAATGTACAAGCGAAGTATTAGAAAATGCAGGAACGAATGCACAAATAAAAGCAAAACATTTATTATGGAATAAACCAGCTGGAAGATCCGCGAAACATTCATCATTGAGGTATAATTAATAATTAAATATAATAAATATCAATCATATTAATTAAATGAATATTTGATTATCAATAAATTTAAAACACGTGATATGATATATATTGAATATTTGTAGACTATTACAAACAGGTGATCCTCTTTATTTACCTGTAACGCAAGATCCTGTTCCAAAAACGGAAGACCAATTGGAAGAAGACGCTCAAGTAATGATGCAGCTGGGAACCGACAAAAATGCGTCGGAAATGCGAGCTCGTATGATGAGCGCTTCGTTGCTTTCCGACATGGAATCTTTTAAAGTATGTAAATCATATTATTTAAATAACAGGTGTTAACAAAATATACTAAAAGTTGAATGAAAAAGAATTTTAATGAATATTTCATTCGTTATAATATTATAATAATAATTTATTTTTATTTTAATTAAATAGGCTGCTAATCCAGGTGCAATATTAGAAGACTTCATTAGATGGTATTCTCCTCGTGATTGGATTGAAGATAAGGGAACCAATGAATGGGGTCAACCAAATGGTCAGTTAATATATTTTAAATATTTAGAATAAATATTATTTTTATACAAGATTTAAACGAATATTTAAACAACGAATCTAAATTAGAGAGAATTTAAATTACTATTACTAATGATTGATTAATAATTATACGATTAAATAGAAATAAATAAAATATATACTTTGTAGGTCATCTCTCACCAAGAATGTTAATTCCTGAGAATGCATGGTCAACGACCTGGGCCTCAGCCCAACCTGTACCAGCTCATCGTCAAAAACGATTATTCGATGACACGAGAGAAGCTGAAAAAGTTCTTCACTTTCTAAGCTCCAGAAGACTCGGCCAAGTCGCCAGACTTCTTTTACCATCATTAACGCACGCCGCGCTTTATACTTTGAATTTACAAAAACAAGAGGCCTTGCCTAATTTACCGGACGTTGCACAAAGTATATTAAACAAGTTGCAATACGTTACCAAACCGCTTCATCAAAAATTACAGCTCTACGAGGTAAACTTTCGTTATTCAAAAGTTAATTATATTTGTTTGTATTTTATTTTTGTATTAATAATGCATATTGGAGATTGTTTATTTTTTTTCTCTCTTTTTTTTTTTTTTTTAGGAAATAACACGCGATATCGAAGGCGTAGAAGCTTTAGTCGCGCAGGTCAACTCATTGCAATTGAAATTAGGGGGAAGCGATGATTCTAAAGAATTTACATCATTTTTAATAGAATTAATGAGAGGAAAGGAAGTTGCTGTACCTGATGGATCAAGAGGAAATATTGGGGCTCGTATAATGTCAATGTTTCGAGATGCTCAGAAAGTAAGACATGGATAGTTTAGCGTTTTTTTTTATTTAACAAAAAGAAACGCATTATGACAAATAAAATCAATTGAAATTGTCGTTGTAGGCTGCGCATATGATGACCACGGTAGGTACAAGTCATGAAGCGGATACAAATGGAGATGGCAAATACAAAACATTCCCAGAACCATCCTGGAAAGAATTTATTTTACGAGCTATCACTCCTAGACCTTCGGTGGTTTCATCGTTACAACCTCAAAGGATGTACGCGTGCCTCCATCGAGATTCCATTCGTTTAGCTGGCTCATTTTCAGAGGACACTGTATTTATATAATTCATGATGATTGAAAAGGTAAATTTAATCGTAGGTTTCGATATGTACGGATTGTAATTCACGGATTGTACAAGATTTTTCTAATGCTTAACTACGAATTATATTTCTTTTCTTTTTTTTTTTTTGTATTTCTCTTTCTTTTTTCTACAACTACCAATCTTTTTAATGCGTGTATATATTTTTAAGAAAAGCACAGTTATTTACAATGTTTCTTCCTACAATTATGTTTATATTATTTTTCGATACAAAATGTTACATATTTTTTCTTTTCTTCTTCTTATTATTATTTCATAAAAAAATAATTAATATAATAAATAATGATGCCAAAGGTTAAATATTTATATAATTATTAAATAATTATTATATTTATTCCAATGGAGAAAATACTTTATTATCAAATGCTGGTGTACCGAAAATGTATTTTGATACGATATCGTTAATTTCTTCCAGAGCTAATTGAGCATGCAGACGTAAGACTGGATCTTTATCGGTGTCTCTTAAATGTATTAAAACACGATGTAGGTCACACAAATCTCTGCCAAGCTCGGTCAAAGCATCTTTCTCTAAGCCACGAAGTAACAAAGTGATGACTAAAACCGCCGCTCTACGACATTCGGGTATTTTGTCCGTCGTTATGATACATTTAATGCAGAAGATTACCTACAAATGTTATATATATTATTTCCAATGATTTATATATTTTAACAATGTTTTTGTTAAATAATAAAAATGTATTTTATTTACCTCTATTAAAACATTTCCAAGATGGAAGCCTAATACTTTACAAAGTTCTCCAAGACAAGAAAGACTCGATGCACGTATTAATGGATCTGGATCACGTACACCGCATAAAAATCCATTAACAAGTATATTCTTATATGTGTAAGCTATCTTACCTGGAAATGTTACATTAATAAGATAATTTATGTTAACATTTTGTTATTTTTGTTTATAGGATTATTCTGACACAGTTTAACTTGAAAAATTTTAAACACAGTGTATAAATTTTCTCACCTAATCCTCTTGTCGTTCTTACAAGTATTTCACCAAGTTTTATTCTACTTTGTACAGAAATATCACAAGTTGCAATACGTTGAGGCATACATATGTACTCTTCAACCAATATTACTATTACCTCTTTAGGATACATTACAGCCAAAGCGCACATACCATTTATCGCGGCAAGATAAATGAACGAATCTTCGTGTTTCAAATTTTCCTGTGTTTATTAGATCAAAAGTATGTAAATATATATATATATATATATATATTAATTATAAGGGATAAAAAAGAATAGAGATAATGAACTCACTTGAAACAAACGTAAGATAATAGATTTTCTAAAAACAGCAATTGGATCTTTTATTTCAATTAATTTCGTCAACGTTATAATCCCATGAGCACGTACTGGAAGTAATGGATCTGACAAATCTTTAATAGCTTCTTCAAATTTATTAAATCTTTCATTATCTACAGATAAATCGTCATAAAATGTTTGATTAGATTCTTCTTTACATTCGATGAGCTGAATTATTTCTTTTATCAACACTACCAATTGCATTGTAGAATCGTTAATTCGTTGTTTTAGATATTTTGCAAATGATTCGAAATGCGTTCGATTTAACGTTTTACCTTCGGAACTTATAATCATTTTGATTAACATCAAACTGATGTAAATAACTTCGTGATCGTCGCTTTCATTATTATTTTGTTTTTGAATTATGTTCTCGTCGAATAAAGATTTAATAAAATTCAACAACGGTTCAGGATTTTTCAGTTGCGCTTTTTGAACAACAGATTTGGTAGCCAAATTCGATAGGAGTTTAATAGTAACTAATCGTTTTTCTGCACGTTCCATTACATCATACAATGTTTCTAGTACATTACCACAAATCAATTTATTAGAATTGGATAATAATTTTAATAAATAAGAGAATAAATTAGTAATAAGTACTTCATCGAGGGATATTAAATCAAACAAACTATCAGCTAGTTCTTCGTATGGTAAATTCTTCTCAATTCCCATAATTTCAACTCCACCATTGGATCCAAAGTTTACGGATATGAGTTTACCAAAATTTTTGTTCGTATCGTATCCAAGAAACGCAGAAAAAAGATCATTTTCCAAATCATTTTCATGAAGAAGTATCAGTAATAATTGCCTCACTTTGTTTCTTAACAAGCAAGCACTGGATCTTACTTTGTTATGAATGGAAAATAATGGAATAGCTATAATTGACATAAGCTTGATAGGCAAAGTTTTAAATTGCATTTCACTTGATGTGAAACAAGTCATAAGATTTTGTATACATGTGTTTAATTCACTTTCAGGTACTTTGTGATCCACATTTGCAATTAATAACGGTCTCATTATAACGTCAATAATATTTTCTTTGCAAATATTAGGGCTATTTTCGTAAAGAGCTACTATACAATTGTTAGCTATTATCCAGTAATTATTGACATTTTTTAACGTTAAAAAATTTAGGAGCTGGAAATAAATAAACATATTTGTTGTATTAGATAAAAATGATTAATTAGTTAATAATTTAAATAAATATTTTAATAATATACCTGTGGACATATGGCTTCGTAATACTTATTTTTATCGTTTCCATGTGGTGTAGCAATCAACCTAGTGATTATATCCAGCTTTTTCCAATCAGTTCCCAAATCTAACATTGTGTCATCGCACAATGTATTAATCAATGACAACACTCCATTAGGTTGTTGAATTTTATGTATTAAATGTTGTATAGTTATTTTACGAATCCACGAGGGTGCTTCTTTATTTCCAAGAATTACCATTAATTCCTTCATAATTATATACTGTGGACAATTATCGAATAAACGTTTTAATTCAGACAAAAATTGTTTCTGATCATATTTTAATTTTTCGTACAAATCAACGGTCATCACAAATTCTTTCTCGTTCGTTTCCTTTTCTTGTTTCAAAGGTAATTCTTCTTCTTTAGGCTTTTGTAAAGGAGCATACGATAATTGCAACAATGCTGCGATTAATGAACCAATGTGAGAAAGAACGGCTGGTCGTAAAAAACTTCGATTGTAATATTCAATAAGAGAATGGCTCGACAAACATAATCTCTCATATTTTTGTAAAATAGTTGTCTTCTCTTCGCTTAATTTCAATGCTCTTGGACATAACTTTTTCATATCAACACCAATTCCAGGTAACAAGCATTGTATTATTCCTATCGATACTATTAACTCTATTGCTGTTTTAAATAATTTATATCTTTTAACATTAATGTAATCATTAGTTTCTTCTATTATTTCAACCTGTTTTAGTACATGCGTGATTATTTGAATATAGTGGTACCTGTAATATTAAAAGATTGTTTATTATTAATTCAATAAAATTATATAAAAAAGATAATACGTGCATACAAAACCTTATATCAGAATTACTATTTGGACATTTATTTTCACCAAATATTGCATATTTATCATCTTCTGATAAATGAGCAAGCGTCTTGCTCACAATTTCTTCTAATTTATTTTCAAAATCATTAACTTCTATAAAAAAGAAAATATAATTGTACATATAGTTTAAATATAAATTTAATAAAAGAAACGCAATAATATACTTACCAGTTTTACCTTCTGTTAATGTATATAATATCTGCAGGTATTTAAGTTGGTCTGATGTTTCCATTATTTTATTAAATATAATAAAATTATTATATTTTTGAGAGACAAACAATAACACCAAAAACAGAAATGAATGAACTTAATTTCATTATTATACTCTGTGACACTTTTCAACAATGCGTTCGTTCTCCTGTGTTCTATTTTCGTCGTTTTACCGCTAGGTGCTCTGATGTCGCATCAGCTGTTATTTTTGTGATTAGTTTGTTTGATTGTATGCTCGTGAAAGATAATATTTAAAACTCATATAATGCTTTAATGATCTTATCGTATTTATATAATATAATTAAATTTAAAAAATGCAGTCTCGTTTTAATAATCGGACTTATTATTATCTTCGTAAATGTAAATATAAATGTAAATATAAATGTTCCCATAGAGAAATTATGTGAAGTTCATAAATGTCCTGCTTGCTATGGTATTTCTGAATGTAATTATATTAAAAATATAAATGTTACGCTAAACGATATGTATTCTTTGATTAATTATTTGTTTGGTGTCAAAAATGTCTTCATGGGAAAATATTTCAAAAGTAAAGTGGTGTTGAAAAAGTTGGCGCATACATCAGAGTTGACAGCATTCGATGACATGCTTTGTAAAAATAGGAATTTACAATTTCTTTGTAAAAATAACGTTGAAACATATAATCATAGTTTTAAGGTTGACTTTTACGAATTAGTTAAAAGGAAAATAGTAAGCAGCTTTATGGAGGATCATAAAAGTCTATTAAGACTTTGTCCAAGTGCTAGAAATATAGATATTTTGTTTTATAATTTATATGTTAAAAATAAAGAATTAGATGCTAATATTTTCTATATAAATTTGTGGACATTGGTAACTATTAATCCAGAACCACTTCTGCTTCAGGTAATACGACAAATGTGTGTTTAATTTAAAATATACATCGTTGTGTAGTTTTCAGATATTACCTGAAAGTAAAGGATGGCCGGTACCAAAATATTTAGGCTCTTGCGGAAGGATCATTGCTGAAGAATATGCAGGATCACCGATAGCAACTTATTATGATGCTCCATGGATTTATAGAGCAAAAATAGTTTCAAGTCTTTTAAACGCAGCTCATATGTTTACATTTAAGAATAAACATTTTGGATTTTATTTGACCGATATTTCCTTAGATAACATTGCTGTTAATTCAAATGGTATCGCTAAGTTTATCGATTTAGAAAATATCATTGTTGTCGATAAGAATATATTAGATAAAGGTAGTTAATATTTTTCTAAATTAATTAAACTTTTTTCAGATTCCTAATTTCATAGATATATGTGTTTTAGATAAATCTGCAACGTGGAATAAAATACAAGAGAATACAATTGATATTAATTGTTTCGATTGTTTTCCCTTTTCTTCAATAGACATATGTAATCATCGATTAAGCGATCATAATTATTACGCTATTTGTCGGGTATGTTTGAACGTAATTTAAATAATTCCATCGATCTCAAATTCTATTTATTGTAATGCATTTGAAACGATTTTTAAATGTCGTTATTTATTCATTCGTAGATCTTATTGTCACCAAAAACCAGCGATAGTTTAATTCCCGGCGGCTTTTTACACGATATACCTAACGATATTTTAAAACGATATCCTGACTTGGAGAATTTAATAAATCAATGCGCTTTTTACGATCGACTACAGAATCGAATTGACAGAGGACAACATCTAAAACAATTGTTAGATGCTATCGTAGAAAAAAAAGAATGAAACAACAAGGGTATATAATTAAACAATTTTTATGGAATCCATAAACCAAACCCAGAACATTTAGTTTTCATTTAGAGAAAGCGCGGTTGTGTTGTTTGCGAAAAAATCGACAGTGTCTTTTCAATATCCTCTGGGACTCAAACGAATAAATAAAAAACATTTATAGAGTGTTAGGTTTGGTAATATTAGCTTCTAATTCGGCGATACGTTCTTCCAGTTTTTTTATCTTCATTTCTTTTCCAACAATATCATCTTTTAATTGTGATATTACTGTATCCTTGTCTTCTCTTAGATTCATTAATAATTCATTCGTCGATGGCCTTTTATCAGGATCTTTTTCTATCAGTTGGCAGATTATTTGAGTCTGTATAAATTATTATATATAATTATATTGTTTTTTAGAGACAGAAATGTATTTATTAATAAAAAAACTTTCAAATATCAAACTTACCCATTGTGGATAATTTGTAGTTAGTGATGTCGGTATTTGACCTTTTTTAAATTTTTCAATGGTACGACAAAGTTCCATCTGTGTTTTTGCATGAGTCAGTAATTCCAATAAAACTATTCCTAAGCTATATATGTCACTCTAACATATACAAATAAATAAATGAAAAAATAGAAATATTTTAAAAATAAATTTTAAATAAATTATAATTGTTTGCTTGGTGATTTTTATACCTTCGGATTGCATTTTCCTTTCAGTTGCTCGGGTGCTGCATATAAACGCGTACCAAGTATAGTATCATGATTTTTTCTTTGTAATGGACAAGCTAAACCAAAATCTCCTAATTGGATTTGCAAACTTTCCGTTATGAATATGTTGCTTGGCTAGAATGATATAAAAAAAAAATGAATATTTCAATATTTTTTTATTTTATATACAGTAGCTCTCGACTTTTGCACATAAGGGCCGCCTGTATTAATATATCTATTTTACCTTAATATCGTGGTGTACCATGCCAATAGAATGTATATGATCTACTCCTTGAAGAATTTGTATAAATATTGTAGTAATTGTTTCATGTGAAGAAGGATCATCTCTTTCTTTTAACCATTCGTGTAATGTCTTCTGGCAAAGTGCCATTTGTATATACAAAGTCATTAAACCATGATCCTGCGTATACAAGGAAAAAACATCAAATAAAACTTGTAAAATGTATAAGAAATATATTATCGTATAAACACATATATATTAAAAAATAATAAAATAATACTAACCATTCGTTGTGAATCATATTGTGAGATTTTCTTATTACTATCGCTATTACTAGAAGCATCAATGGAGTCAGTAATTTCAGTACTACTGACGCTACTTTTCGAATGATCAGTATTACTTTTGTAATCTTCACTATCGTTTCTAAACGATACAATATCTGAACTATCATCAGTACTTAGTTCGATTATTTTTTGTCCTATAATGTTAGTAAATGAATTGAGTTAATGAAATATTTTGTTAATAGTGTTATGATTTATTAGATAATTGTCAATACTTTCTGCGAAAATATACATACCAGTTTTGTCAAACATTAATGATGTGTCATTTCTATTGTTTTCATTACTGTTACTACTATTAGAAATCGATAGACTACTATTACTATAATGATTTATTTCACAAAATCTTTTACTTCGATGTTTGACAATTGAACTCTTGTTTCTTTCGTCCTCAATATTGGGCAAACTTGGAACAATAGTTGCTATTAACGTTGGTTCTATCCAAGCAGTCTTATAAGCAACTATGTTGGGATGATTTAGTTTAGCGAGGACCTTTACTTCTTCAAGGTGTTGTTTTAAGGTACTCACTTGGTTAGATTTTACTACTATTTTTTTCACAGCATATTCAATACCATCCAATAGATGTAATGCTTTGAATACGTTACTAAAGCCACCAGCAGAAATAAATTCTTTTTCCTTAAATTCTCTACGATATCGTGACAATTCAACCATCAGACAACTAAATATCATAAATTTAAAAAAATTATATCATTAATTAAGGTTGATTTACAAATGTTATCTTTGATAAAAAAAAAAAAAAAAAGAAAACATGTAACTTACTTTGGAACATTTAAAGGAGTTTCACAACCAGCAGCAGTACGTGCGATCATAATTAATTTATGTAAAGCATTTTCATATTGGCTACGTATATTTTCCACTTTCGTAGAATTATAAGAAGTATCTATTAATCCTATTTCATTAAGCGTATTGCATATCACTGCAAAATAAATACGAATTATATTTTATAATACCTTTTCAACTTAATTTATTATATGAAATTACCCCCTAACCGGTTGTACCACCAGTTACAAAACACCCTGTATATATTTATATATATTATTTATTTCATATAGATAATTTATTATTTATTATTACTGAGATATAATTTATCCCTCTTAATGGTATCTCCTTCGCACATGGTACACATTTGTTTAATCAGGGATTCGATAAAAACACGTGCTGCAGCCATAATTAATTTCATGTTTTCTTGTGTTTCTGTTCTGTTATCCAATATAATTGGAGTCTTGTTATTATTACCTGTAAAAAAATTATTTATTATTTCATTATCCAATTGTATATCCAAATTGCATTGAGTAATATTAGAAAAGAAAAAAAATATAACTCTATTGATATTTTTTTCTAAGTATTAAAAGAAAATTAATATAAAATATCTGATGTTAGTGAGATAATTCATTAGTTAATGTTATTATATATTATGTTAAAGTATTTTCATTCGTGGAATATTTGAATTTCGAAGCAAAATTTCAAAATATTATTATAGAAGAGGTTAAGTCACTTACCTCGATCAAATTTAGTTATGGTCATTAAATTAGACCAAGGATTATCTTGTTCCGATCGTTCCTCCATTTTTTAATAATAATTAATATTTGATAATGATTTTTTTCAATTATATTATTATTTTAACTTAATTTCGACACGACTAGATATACACGACTATAGAAAAAAGGTGAATGCATTATGCAGCAGAACTTTCCACAAGGTTCGTTCACCAATAAAAACGTCTTATAGATTCACTTTCATTATCGCGCGAAAATTTGAAAATAGATTGAACCCATAAGAAGTTTAAGGCAAAAACCACATGAAGCTGATATACCAACTAAAAGTGGCACGGTTCCTGTACGCAAATGGAGTCAAATAGGATATTACAATAACAATAAAACTATAAATATTTATAATACATGCAAAAAAAAGTGTATGCGGAAAGTGTACACACAGCAATATCTACATATGTAAATATTGACAAACTGTAAATAATTAAGCGTTTTGTTATTTAAAAATGTCTATAAATCCATTTATCTATTAAAATTATTATTGTTAAACATTTTTTGTTATTTTTTAATAGTAAATAAAAGCTGGAAGCCTCAAAAAGAATTTTTTTTTTATACACTAGTCATTTTGACTGGTGTGGTAGAAATAGGTATACTGAAAATGGCGGTAAATCTAGTGTTAATATATGCGTATAAGAAAAATATTGAATAATTCTATTGCAAAAAAAATAATATTAATATAAAATTCTACTAATATTTTGTTGTTATTCTTGCATTTACAATTAAATGATATTTATAATTAATTAAATTATTTATTTATTTATTAATCGATAAGCTATGACGATCGTGTTTATTGTTTGTGTATGATTTTTAATAAATACGTGACAAAATTTATGAAGTATCGATAACACGATTCGATATTTATCTTTCTTATTCCCTTAATTTTATTAATTTATATTTATTTATTTAATTTTCGGGCCTAAGACATTCAAATTTTTATATAATGGACATACATATATGTTCAACCAGCCCCAAAATTATTTACAACAAATTTGGAAATTTCATTCTATTCAAGATTTTACTTAACAACGAATTACTTTGAAGATAAAAATATAATAGAAAAAAATTTAAAAATTAATAGGCCAATAAAAATACGTTGTTCTTTTTTTTCTAATAATCGCAGGACTGTTTATGAAATAGAAAAATTATATTTGAAATTTGTTTATGCATTTCAATTTCATTCTCTCTCTCTCTCTCTCTCTCTCTCTCTTTCTCTCTTCCAATATATATGTATAATACTTATTATTTATTAATATATATATATGCGTGTATGTGTATCTGTTATAAATTTAAGACGAATTAATTAAGTATAAAAAAGACAAAATTGTTTACAATCTATTTTCTTTCTCATTTTTTTTGTGTGGATTTTTACATTTTAAAATCGACTTGTTAAATTTTTTCTTTCTTTTTTTTTGTTTATTTAATATATTTCTTCTTTTAATACATGAACTGTTTAGTACGAGAATGGTTCAAGTCCATTTAAAAAAGAAAAATTGAGAAGATAAATAACATAATTTTCATTAATTATAAATAAAACGTACAAAATTTTCTCAATTTTTTTTTTTTTTTGAAAAAATGTAATTACACCATTTCCCTAACATACAGTTCATTAACTTATCATATTTATCATGTATATATATATATATATATATTTTTTTTTTTCATTTATAATTTAATTCTAAGATTTACTTATTTATTTATTGATTAATTTTCTTTTCTTTTTTTATTTTTGGTTTAATTTTTATATTTATTTATTTTCTATTTTTATTTATTCGTTTGTTTTAACTTTTACGGGAATTATTTATTACTCGTCGAAGGGGGATAAAAGAGTTAAAAAGAAAAAAAAGGAAAAACTCAACTACTTTTTCTCTTTTTTTTCTTTATATACATATACATATATACACATAATCATATGCATACATACATATACATATATAGATACTTAGGATATATATGTTCATCATCATCATCATCATTATCATCATTATCATCAATCATTCAAACATTTAAAAATTCATTCCAATCGAATATCAAAAGTCTTATATCTTTGTCCACTCATCTATGTTATATTCAACCCTTTAGTTATTGACAACCCATATAAGGGTCGTTTATGCATTGGCTCCTATTGTCCCATATAACTCCATAAGGGTCGTACACCATGCGATTTTACATACGTAGGAGCAAATTCTTATGCATAACGAAAGGGTTAATAATTATAGTAATATATATATATATATAATTAATAATAAATTTATAGTATTATGTATAATAATAGTAATGTTTATCGAGGAAGAAAAATATTAGTTTAATTCGAATTTGTTTCTATTAAGGTCATCTTCTTTTCTTTTTTATCTGTTTTTTTTTTAAATCTTTCTTTCCTTTTCTTTCGTTTCATTAATTACGATTAATATTTATTAATTTATTATTTTTATTATTATTACTATTATTATATTACTAATAATATTAATATTAAATATTTTTCTACGTGCCGATTTTAATCGACGACTCGTTAGAATATTAAATTTAAAAATCGGCATGTAGAAAAGTATGCTTTTCGAAGACATGCACTTGATTTCTTTTTATTTATTATTATTACTATTATTATTATTATTATTTTCTTTCTCTATAACAGGACTTTTCAAAATGCATATGGGGTCATCTAACTAGATTTGGAATAAGCAAAAATTTAAGTAGAAGTAAAAAAAATTGATCTATAATTGAAAATTAATTTAACAAGACTTTACGTATGGTATTTTTATGAGTTTATGATGATAAGGGGTAGTAGCCAAATAGGAAAAGTTGAGAAGCCCCGTTTTCTATAATACTTAAAAACTATAATTTGTATGTATATGTGTTTCTGTTTGTGTATGTCAATTGGTTGTTTATTTTCATTATATAATTTTCACTGCATTTTTTGTTATAAATTATTATTATTATTATTTAAATCAGCGTACTGCGAGTTCTGCGATCACCAAACACCACTATATTGGTTTGTCAGTAATAGACAATTAATTAATTAATTAATTCAATATTTCAATTCATTCATTCGTTCATAATTTATAATTAAAATGAAGTAATCACGCAAAGATACAAATATTATGATGATTTGGAAGTACAGGTACGATTTTTTTTTCTTTGTTTTTAATTATTAATTCTACGTTTAATTGCGTTCTCATTTGTTTTTATTCGCAAATTTAAAAATTAATAATAATAGGAGTAACGTGTAAAAGGAAGAAAAGGAATAGAAGGATAAAGATAAAACAAGGAACATAACTAAAAGAACAAATAAAAGAAAATTAAAAAAAAATTTATTTTAAAAATTAAACCAAAAATATGATTCAGGATACACGATGCGCGTTTTACATGATGAGTAATAAGAAAGAAATGAAATAAAAATAGATATAAAAATAATACCAAAAAGAAAAAAAAAATAAAGAAAAATCACTTGCTATTCCATGAGAAAGAGTATGATTGGCGAAAAATGGCGAGACCAGCTGCAGTTGAAGAAATATTTCATGTATTATTATTATCATTAATATTATTATTATTATTAATATTATTATCATCATTTATCAATCGATACCGGTCGATTAATCATGCATATAACGTATATATGTATTTATACATATACATACATATATATATATATATTTTTTTTTTAAATATATGTGTTTATACTAGTCTGTAAAAAAAAACAATTTGACAATGTCTTTTTTAGTTTCGTCGTTTTTTTTTCTTCCTTTTATGTTGATCACGACCACAGAACAGTTGCAGTTTTCTACTCGTTAAATTTTTTTTTTCTTATTAACAACAGTCCGACCAATTTCTACAGTAACTATATATGAACAATTATTTATTTATTTAATTAATCATTAAATCTCGCCTTTCGAGTTGATATTACTATTATTACTATATTTAATTTTTTTTTTATTTAATACTTTACTTTTTGCGCTCATAGAGAAAGATAGGGGCGGGTGGAAAGGTGTATTATTTTTTTTTCTTTTTTTCACTTTATAATATCGGCAGTTAGTTTATAACGAATTTAGTAATAATAATAATAATAATATTGCGAGAGTATGCGTTATTTTATTTATCATATAATGATTTATTCTTTTTGTTGTTGTTGTTAAAATTTTTCTTATTATCTTAAATTTTTCTTATTCTTCACTTAAATTATAGGATAAATTTAGCTCATAATTAATTTTCAAACATAATCTCAAGAATAAGAGAGTTACGTTTCTTACGTTTCTTTATTTAACAAGAATAAAAAAGAAAGAGAGATAGATCTTTATATATATAAAGAAATAAAATTAAAATTTAGAAAATATATTAAGAAAAGAAAAAAACTTAGATTTCTAACTACTTATACGTAACTTTCTCATTTTCATAATTAAAAGATTCTAATAATAAATTACAAAGCAATTCGCATCTTCTTCTTCTTCTTCTTCTTTAACATTCTCTTATTTTCAAAGATGATTATTGCTTGTCTATGTTGTTGCTGCTCCTGTAGTAGTAACTGTTGTTGTTGTTGTTGAAAAACATTGTTCAGAAGATTTGTAGACAGATGATGTCCACGCGTCACTCCATTAAACACGTGCATATGAAAAGTGTGTATGTATACGTATGCATATATTTATATATACATATATATGAATGTTAAGTATGATGTTTGAATGCGTGTCTTTGATCTTTTAATATTCATGTTATTTTATGTTATTTCTCATTTTTTAAATTTTTCATTGTAAAGTCTTTTAAAATTTCTAACTGAGGCTGTGTTAGGTTTATGCTGAATAAATTCGATTATAATACTTCATCGAAACTTGGATGGCCACAAAAATAAGAGAACAAAGACAATTATTCTCTCTTTATTATTATTATTATTTACTATTATTAATATTATCATTAATATTATTTTTTTTTTGTTTAAAGTCTTGAAATGTTCGATGAAGAAAATTATACATATATATATATTTATATATTGGCTTACTAAGAATCGCGAACGAAGATGTTCTCATATTATTATTATTTGTTTATACATACGTATATGTATAATATTGTATTATAATCCGATATATCACGAATTTAGAGTTTAGAAGAGTTCATTTCTTTTCTCGTCCTGGTTTTCCGTATGTTGACCCACCGACACTGGTTTTTTCTTTCTCCCTTTTTTTTTTTTAATAGTTTTAACTGCTTGACGAACGTTGTCAAGCAGGTATAATAAGCGTACAAGAGCGACATCTTAGGTTTGATGTCGAGTGGCGTACGAAGTAATAGTAGTAGTAGTAGTAGTAGTAGTGGTGGTGGTAGTAGTAGTAGGTAGTAGCAATAGTAGAAATAATAGTAGTAGTAGTAGTAGTAGTCCTGGGTTCTCTGTATCCTTTCTTTCGTTCATTCATTTATTCATTTAGAAGAAGCTGGTGGATATTGTTGAGGATGGGAAAAATGAGAATAGGAGAGGTGGTAGGGGTAGTGAAGAAAAATTAAGGGATAAAGAGAGGTAAATGATGTAATAAAGATAGAAGCAAAAGACTTAATATTCGATAAAGAAAGGAATGGGAAAGATGATATTTTTCTGATCAACTGTCACTTCTCATCTCTGTATTAGCGACGATTTTGATAACTGGCATTGTTGGGATTACCAGGTTGTCTCATTGCACCACCTCCCCTACCACCATCTCCTCCTCTTGGAAAACCTCCCCGGCCACCACGAGCTCCATGCTGGCCACCCCTCATCACTCCTGGACCACCTACAATCGATGTATCATACTACTCTTTACGAACAGTTACGACGATCAATACTATATATGTATATATCTTTATCTAGTTTTCTCTTTTTTTTCTTGATTCTTTGTTAGAATATATTAATTGGAATATGTATATGTATGAATGAGTATCTAAAAGAAGAGCCTAGGGTGTACTCTAGTGATCCCATACACTAGGTCAAATAAATTTTTGGATAAATTTTTGGACGAGAAACGACTAAAGTAAAATTAATTCATAATTAGTTTAACAATATTACACGTATTGTTTGTTTGTGATTTTAATATAGGGAAAGAAAAGTTAATATAGGATCAATACTCAGAGACACAAAGATATTTCCTTGAATAAAAAAGATTACCAAGTGAAGAGATTTAAAAATAAAAAGATCTATAAGATACACCATCATAGTGTGTATTATAGGCTTTTACGGTATGTAACATATAGGTCCTTTTTTTTTTAGACACCCATTCATATATTATTATATCTATAGTTAGAATAATTATGATTATTTTACGACCTCTACCTGGTCCACGTTGCTGTTGTTGTTGTTGTCCCATTGGACGCATGTTACCATCACCTGAATTTAATCTTCCTCCACTTCCATCCATCGACATCCTGGGTTTCGTTTTCTTTTCTTCAACGTTTAATTTTTGTCCATGTTCATCGGGATAACATATGGGCTATACAATTGAAAATATAATAATTATTATTGTAATAAATAATAATTTGTATTATATTAAAAATGATAAATGATATTTGTGTTAAATAACTTACCAATGAGTTTAATACTTTCGTTACAACCAATTGATCTTCAAAAGTGATAAATCCGTAATTGGGTACTTTAGTATTATTATTGCTACCCAAAGGACCTTTGCACCTGTCACTGGATTTGCTGTGTACTCGTAAGTCTGCAACTTTACCATATCGTTCAAACAATTGACGTAAGTCGTGTTCTGATGCGTTATGTGGCAAATTTCCAAGGAATAATTGATGGGCATCGCTGTATTGACATGGTCTTGTTCCACCACGTCTTTCTCCGTCTATTCGTGAGAAAATGAATATATACATTAGTTATTAGTTATATAAATGAGATTAAAATAATATTGCATTAGGTATTAGATATATAAATAATATTGCATTAGATATTGGATACAAATTGGAATATATTAGGTCTGCTACCTCGTTGAACAAGACCACCTCTTGAAGCTCTTTGTTGTTGATGTTGTGGTTGTTGTGGTTGTTGATTGCTATTATTTCTGTGCGTCTGTTGTTGAGAAGCATTAACATTCATTCCTGATAACGTCGCTGCGCTTCCCGTAGGGTGTAATTGTGATCTATCATCTAACCTTAAGTTTGTCATCGGTGGCTGAAAAATAATATATGATTAACATACATCTTATATATTTATTCTTTCCTAACACGTGCATTTAACCCCTTGGCCTACACGGTATCTGCTGATTATGCGAGCCATAGTAAACAAGAAGATAGATCGCGCGCCGTGCCATTCAGCTCTTCAGTCGTGTGCCCGAAACTGGTACAAAATGTATACTTTTTAATGTATATTCGATGTGAAACAACTGAATTCGCTGGTTGTAATAATAATACGCGGCATCTTATGCACAAATTCGTCACCACGAGTCAGAATCGTGGTTTTCGTTTATAACACGAATTCTTTACCACGAGTCAGACTCATGGTTATAGGCCAAAGGGTTAATAAAAAATATAAATGATTAAAAAATAAAAATTAAAAAGAAAATAAAAATAAATACCTTGCGATTGTTATGGGAACTTACAGGGGACATAGAGATCTTCGGAACTTGAGGGCTAGGAGTGGAGTTCGAACTTGGAAACGATTTTACCAAATTAGCATATGTTTTAGGTCCGCTACTGCTAATGTTGGTGGTGTTGGGAGACACTTGACGTTCAGGTTCAGATTCTTGCGTGGTTGCTGAATATGTTGTTTCAGCTTCTGTCTGTTCCTGAGTTTCAGCTGGTTGTGCTTGTGGTTCTTCCTCGGTTGATGTTGGTTTTTCTGCAGCGGTATCTGTCTCTGTTTCTTGAGCAAATTGAATCTGTGCCGTTGGTTCAGCAATGTATTGATGTGGTGGTTGTTGTTGCGGTTGTTGTTGTTGCTGTTGTTGTACTGGAGGAGGAGGAGGTGGTTGTTGTTGAGGCTGAGGCTGGGGTTGTTGATTAATCAATGTGGTTTCTTCGTGAACAGTTCCATTCAAAACTTGTTGCATTACCGGATGAACCTGAAATAACAATAATTAAAAAATTGCAACAAATACTTTAATAAGAATAATCATTTTATAATTATAGTTTTATTTCATTCACTAACCAATGGCTGCGGTGGTTGTGCATAATAAATCTGTTGTTGTTGCAATTGAGGTTGTTGAGTAGAAATGAGAGTAGCCTGAGTTTGTGGTTCAGCCGCTGGTGCAGTACCAGTAAGCGGCTGTCCTTGATTTTGATGTTCATCTTCATCTGGCTCGGAAGGCCCCCCTTCTTCAGCATCTCTTTCACCTGTTTCATTAATACCACCTTCCATACCACTAACATCCGTTTCTTCTTCATCGGGAAAAATCATGTCTTGATATCTAAAAATATCATTGTGAACGTAATATTTTTTGGGTGCTTGTATTGCCAGTACAAAAGTTTGGGTGAAGCGACGCATTGGTTGACCAGCATTGGACAGTTCTCCGGAAACCTAAGGGTATAAAAAAGATATTTAAACATAAATCAAATAAAATAATTAAAATAATTAAGTACATAAAAGTAAAGTAACTAAATATAATTATTATTTACCTGCACAACAACTCCATTTTCCAATGTTAATTGTGAGTCAACTTGGCTGATCTTAGCATGGCAATCACGAAAATTGAGTTGTTGAATTTTTTGATGTATTTGCTTTTGTCCAACAGCAGGTGTAGATTCTCTATTAGAGTCTAATCCTCCGTGCACAAAAGATGAATGTTGGTTATAAAACCTGGAAAATATTTTTGTCAATATTGTACGGTCTAACAAATATATACAAATAAAAAAATATATATATATTTAATAAAATAATTAATAAATACCTATGAAGATGTGCGGGAGCCTGATTAAGCAAAGTATAATATTGCCGGACAAATTCGCGACCGACGCTTTGCGGCGAGGGGGAAGCCTCCATTACCATTTTCTTTTCTTTAACGTATCTCAAAACAATCAGTTAGAATAGATCGCTTAAAGACTTGCCAAGATAGCAGTTTGGTAAAAAGGCAGTTATCTGAAACGAAAACAAAATGAAATTAATGAAATGAAATTAAATTCTAATCATCGATATTTAAAATACATTTAAAATAAAAAAAATATATATATATAAAAAGAATAAAATTCTAATTTTTTTTGCGCATCGAGTCAAGTGTCCTGCTTGAGAATTATCACATGAGACTGATGCAGATGGAAAAGAAATACGACATTAACGCCGAATGAGAAATGTTTGTAGGGGGGAGGGGGGAGAAACATAATAATTCCCTAAAAATAATTATTTACAAAAAAAAAAGTCGATTAACCAAAACATTTACTTATTAAAAAAAAAGGAGCAAAAAAAAATGAAAAAAGAAAGAAAACGAAAAAAAGAAACCTTGTACCTTAAATTAAAATAGAAATAAGATAAACACAAATACCACGAGGGTAGTACTTTGAATACTTTTTTCTTTTCTTTTCTCTATTTCAATGGATGCAAAATGAAATAGAATTCGTTAAAACTAAAAAAGTGAAAATTGCAGGAAAGTGGAAACTAGGAAAAATTATTTAATTATTGAGATGAAATAGAAGCGAAATTTCGAGCAAGAATTTAACGCGTGTTCATTGCTACGAGTTCACGCTATAAAAGAGAAGTTGAAGAAGAAGAAGAAGAAGTAGAAGAGAAGTGGGAGAGGGGAAGGGGCAACGAAAAGAGTATGAGAAAGAAGAAAGGCGGGTAAAAGGTAAACGAGAGAATACAAGGAATGTAATATTATTGTTCAAAAATATTTTAACGAAAAACAGGTAAGAATTTGATAAAGAATGTCCGAGAATGGTACATTCTTTCAAACAATGAAATAAAATAGAATAAAGAAAAAGGTCAGATCCGAGAACAAAGAAAAAAAGGGGGGAGAGGAAGGAAGGGACTACCCGGTGGGTATTACAAGAAAAAGCCAGCAGCAAAAGCAAGCATGGCGATTTTTCTTCGTTTCTAGCGTAAATTGTACGCTTACGCTAAAAATTCCCCAGAAAGCACGCCGTTGGGGAAAATTAAAGAAATGTGATATATATACTAAAACTATATAAACAATTTTAGAAATCAAAAGAATCCTTATGGATAAATAAATGAATACATTATTATGATTGATATATTTTAAATAGAAGTATTAAAATAATAAATCAATTATACGATAAAAATGATCATAGTTATCGGTAAATTAGAAACCGGGTTCTCAGTAAGGGGAAGTTAGAGAACGTTGAAACAGAGATGACGAAGGGAAGGATGGTCGGAAACGGGGGGAAATGGTAGAATAAACGAGAATGACGATATCGGATAATATTTCTTTGCATGCTTCTATTTCTTTCATTATATTTATATTTTACCTTAATTCAGATAATCTCCCTTGTGCAAAATGGTTAATATCACTGAACTTTGTCCCCGCGTGTGCAGGGAACTCTATTTAAACGTGGATTTGTATTATTATACTGTTTTACACTCACCCAACAAGGATCGTGGTCTTAGATAGACGCGAAGAAGCACTGAGTAGTTTAACCGATGATATTGAGAAAGCCGGGAAGATAATAACAGAATAAAAGCGAGTAAAAGTAAGAAAGAGAGAGAGAGATCAACCTTTCCGCGAGAGTAACAACAGTCCACCACGATGATATTAATTATAAAAACAGTTCTTAGTTGTTGGGACTCGAGAGCACCTTGGTGTCAGCACATGCAGTAGACCAACACTAAAGAGTTGTTCAAATAGAAAGAATTTGAGTACTTCCGAGATCACACGAAACTAACGACGCGCATTCTAACGATAGAAATTGCAACTAAATTTTTAAGGAGCGTTTTCATTCGATCACTTGTGAACTAGATATTATATGGACAATATTGTTATTATTATTAATTTTAATAATATTAATAATAATTAGTTATAAATGTTATCTTTTAATTTATTTATTATTAGATAGAAATATATTTCGATCGATCGATATCATTCATTCGTATATTCATATTATTTCTCTATTGTTACAATAATAAACATTTCTTTTTTTAAATAGTATTCTTAAGACTTATTGTGTGCACTTGATTCGAAGATAAGATTATATTCTTCTATAATTAAATATGTAAAAATATTGAACAGGAGTAAACATATGATATTCATGGAAATAAGGAAAATGAATAAGCCACGTTATTTCTGTTCTCACTGTATTTTCTTTTCTTTTTATGTCAAAAATATTTGAAGAAAGGGGAAGATAAGGTGCATTCGGAACGTTGTTAAAAATTACAATTGTACAATTGCTTGAACTTCATTCATTCTCACTCGTGTATTGAGCTATTTTAATGAACGTGAATAGGAAGCAATGAGCGATAGGCCTAAAGTATGAGTGGACGCCATTTTTCGTATCGCGGTGCATTTTAAGGGTAGGTACTCTTAAGCTCGTCGCTCATTGGTCGCCGTATTTTCGCGCCTTCCAAATCTGCTTCAATTCTTATCATCATTACATATAAACTATTTAAAAACTTATGATTTCTCTCGTTTCTTTATTTATCGATAGGTTCTATGTAATTCTATTATATTATTTCAGTTTTTTTTCTTTTCATCAAATCTTTCATATTTAATTTAGATTTAATTGTAAATGGAAATTCATTTTCATTTAAAAATGTGTATGTTACGATACCGTTTCGATTAGCTAATGAAAGAATTTGAAATCATTAAGATAAAATGTATTACGATGATTTTCAGCGAGATAAATAATTGTGTGAGATTACTTGATATTATCATTCGCATGAAATATTTTTTATGAGTATTATCTCAATTTTCATTACAAAGTTTTAATCTTTTTCTGATAAATCAATTATGGCGAACGATATTTCTTCTGATAAAATCGAACTTGTCATTTTCTGATAAAGAAAAAATTCTTATATTATTAACACACGTAGTTAGAATCTCTCTCTTTCTCGTTCACTCTTTTACTCGCTTCTTTTTGTCTCTATTTTTCTAATATTACAATATTGTGGTACTATAATACGACAACCGCGAAGTTAAAATCAGTTAAACATCGATGCTCGACGATGTTTAAATTTTATATGCTAGACACATATGTATATCAATTAATGTACTAGGCGGAGTTAATTATTATTATTATTATTAGTATTATTATTATTACTATTAGTTAATTAATTTTTTTGTTTAAATCCTTTTTTAATTAATATGATATACGAGTTTATTTTTACTCAATTTATAAAAGTGATCCTATCTATGAAAGAACATCTTAACAGAATAGGTAAGTCACAATCGCGCTATTTAACAGCTTATTATTTTAATTATTATTTTTGTTGCTTATTTTTTTTAATCTCTATCAAACAAAATACTGAAAGCTTGATTTTAAAATATTACTAGTGCATCTCCTTCCTTTCTTTCCTTTTCTTCTTTTCTTTTTTTTAAATTGTTTTTTTTTTTTTTTTATCAAAGAAATATTACAACATATGATTGGAGTATAGAGTAGTAGATTAAAGAGAAAAAGAAAAAATACAATGGAGAATTGTACTTGAAAATGCATTAATTATACAATTTACTTATTTTTCTTGTTTAAAATATATGTGTGTATATATATATATGTTTATATATAATATATATATATAATATATATACACATACATACACAGATAGATACATACGTCACAAAGAAAATTGTGTCAAATATATAAATATTAAGAATACCTATGTAGTGTTGTATTTTTTCTCGTTCAATGTAGAGTGAAGAATCATCATCTTTTACCGAAGACATAATAATCAATAATAATATTTATATATATATATATAATATAGCTGTGATAAAATATCCAGCAAATATTCGTTTTGTTTTTTCTATATATACTTATTTTTTTCTTCTTTCTGTGTTATCAGATTGATCAATCTTCCTTCTCAGTCTTATATTTAAATTTAATAATGAATAATCTTGTGTACATATACTGTTTTGTTTTATTTAGTAAGTCAGTTTTTTTTCTTTTCTTTTTTAAAAATAAAAAATAATTATATAAGACCTGGTCAATACAAGTACACACATAACCGTATGCAAGATATATTATGTACACAAAATGAATTTATTTTATCCTATTTAATCTTACCAATAAGGAAGCAATAATCTTTTTACTTCATTTCATTTCTATCACGTTCTTTTTAGTTATAAATTGTTCTGTATTTCATAATGGATTTTTTAGTTTCTTTTCATTAGTTGTTGAAACATTCACGCGTAAAAAGTACATTGCCTGCTTACTTTTCTACCGCAAGTTTTCAATTTATCCTCACTTTTGTTTACCCTTCTTCCCTACGTCACTTGTTTCGTTTCACTTCATTTACCATTCATATGAACTTTAATTACAGACAAAATTAAAATAATCTTATATCGTTAAAAATGTGGACAAAAGTGGTTTAGAGTTTTTCATTATCTTGATCATTTTTTTTTCCTCAAAACACACTGTTCTAAACGAGTGGAGTGAACTCGTATATATTACTTCTTATTTTATTAATTACTCTCTACATATTTTTTCTATTTTTTACTTTAAATTATTATTAATATTCCTCTTATCATTATCAATCTTTCATCTATTGCTTTCCCATTTGCACAAGGTGAAGAAAAGAAATTAAAGATTGTAAAGACATGTAATTGTAATTTACGTTATAAAATATTAAGTCGTGTGGATATAAAAGGCGTGTGTTTTTCTTTCGTTTACATTTTAACTTATTCATTGTATTTTTTTTGGGTCAAATGTATACACGCACACATATGTATAAATATATATATATATATTTAATTATTGAAAACTATATTCGTATTAATTGTGCCCATTTTTCTTTTATTTTCTTTGAAACAATTTCGTTAGCTATATTTAAAATAAAAAATGCAGACGTGTTTTTATTTTTTTTTTAGTTAAACGCAAATATATGATCTCTTGTACACACACACGCCTTACACAACATTGAATATATATATATATATAATATATTTGCACATATGTGTATGTATACAAATGACCCACACACATTTATATATATATATATATTTATATGTATGTATATATATATATACATATGTATGTATACGAATACATCCACACACATATTATTATATATATACACATACACATATATAATAATAATTATATATTTCTATAAGAAGTTAATACTACCTATTATTAATTAATTGTAAGGATACTTAGAAATAAATTAAAATAAAAAATAAATGGAGATAAGTCAATGAAAGTTTATGAGAGAAAAATAGTCTTTTTTGTTAAGTTTTTAAACTATAGTAATGTATATAATAAGTTTTTAGTTGACTGCTATTTCGTACAAAGGGGTAAACGAGAGATGGAAGCAAAACTTATGTACATACATATACGCATTTAAAGAAATATATACATGTGTATATGTATATACATTATGTATTTTCATTTTTTTACTTTTTCTTATTTCTTTCTTATTCTGTTTTTTTATCTGTTAATATTTTTTACGTTCTTTCGAAAACGTTGTTTTTACTCTAATTTCCATAATGCTATTAATATTATTAATATTTTATGTTTAAACGCAACATGATCAACTATTTTACTGTTATTTCCTTTTTTTTATTTAATTGTGTGAATCTCGGTGATAGAATTTATTTTGCGGCAGTTGTTGTCTGCGTTGTTGTTGTTGATGATGATGTGGTTGTTTATTAATGGAATGATGATGATCTGACGATTTATGATGATTTTTATGTAGCAAACCTAGAAAAACAGAAGAACAAACAAATTATAAGTGTCTTTTTCTTTCTGTTATAATTATAAATTCTCGAAATAAAAATAATTATTAAACTGTACAATTATTTTAAGTCATTTAGAAAGCTCGAATTATTGCACACTTACATTTTATATTGATTTATTAATACTTGTTTTTGTTTAATTAATGAAATTTCCAATAAACAAGGATTAAAGTGATCCAAGTTATATATATTTTTTGTTTTAAATAAAAAAACAAGCAGAAAAAAATTAAGGAATGGAAAACATAAAAAAACAGAACGGTACAAAAAGAAAATGATAGTCACAAACAAAGGATGATATCACAGTTAACACATACAATTATAATATGACCAATATGAATTATTTTGAATGAATTAACTTACCTGTGTTTGCAATGAATATAACATTGCAGTTGCAAATAAAGATTTCCATTAATAAGGTTGGTGCCTTTGATTTTGGCGACCTCCCCTCTGCTTGCCGCCATAGCCTGAGCCTCCTGAAACAATCCCATAGGACGCGTTAGTCAAATAAACTTACTTAACTAACTAACTAACTACTACTATTATTACTACTACTACTACTAATACTACTACTACTGCTACAATTATTATTAATAATAATCCTCATAAACTTTCTGTATTTAGTTTAAAATATTATCAATATAAAAATAAAATGAACTATAATATATAAAAATATGTGAAAAGATACTTATAGCGTATAGACTATTCTACACGCACACTTTATAATAAAAAATAATGTACAAATAATAAAAATAACAATAAAAATAATAATAATAATAATAATAAATAGAAAATCTATATAGAGGCTACAGGCTAAGGTAGTAAGCTGCAGGCTGCGTGTTCCATTTCATAATTCTTCCTGTGTCCTATACATTTCTGGAAAGTTTTCCATTAGCTGAAATATCTTTCTTACGAAAAGCTTTCAATGCTTTTCAAAAGTATTGTACTTAAATATATA